AATTATCAATATATTGTTTACAAAACTTGTTTACAAAAACAAACAATCATCCTCCTCCTCCTTCTCATCCTCCTTCTCCTCCTCCCTTCTCTTCTTTTCCTCCTCCTCTCTCTCTCCTTCTCCTCCTTCTCCTCCTCCTTTCCTCCTCTCTCCTCCTTCTCCTCCTCCTTCTCCCTCCTCCTCTCCTCCTCTCCTCCTCCTCCTTCTCCTCCTCCTCCTTCTCCTCCTCCTTCTCCTTCTTCTCTCCTCCTCTCCTCCCCTCTCCTCCTCCTTGTCTTGTGTGCGAGTGTGTGGCTTATAATTGTTTTGAGTCAGAAGTCGGCAGCTGTCAAAGTGACATATTGTCTCATTAGTCACTACCCCTACCGCCTGTCAAAACAATGGGGTCGGATGCTGCTTCCCTCCTCCATTCTATCTAATTATCTTTCTCCCTCATTCTATATCTTTCAATCTGTCTCTCTTTCTATCTGTCTGCCTATCTCTGTCTCACAGGTACACATAAATACAAGTATACATAGTGTAAATTACCTAGGATAACCCAAGAAATCCAGACAAAGTGCTATACTCTGCTTGAAGATGTGAGTAAACGTGATGACACAGTCTTGTGGCTCTCTCTGAGACAGAGAGCTAGATGGACGACAGGGAGCTTGACAGACAGACAAATAGACAGACAGAAATGTTTGTGTACCAGCAAAAACAAAGGGAGGGCGATGGTCATGTAATATTACCCTCCTTTACGCTCATCAAAGTCAGCTCTTATCAGATGTTATCTCCCCTTATCTTGTCACTGTCATGGGGTGGACTTTTTTTTTTCTTGCTTCAAGGGAACAATATTATTACATCTTCTTTTTCCCTCCTCCTCCTCCCTCTTCTCCCCTCCTCTCCTCCTCTCCTCTTCCTTCCCTCCTCCTCCTCCTCCTCCTCCCCCTCTTCCTCCCCTCCCCCTCCTCCATTGTTTTTGGGTCTCGAACTCCTCCAAATCATGAAATTTGATCTTCACTGACACTTCCATCTGTGTTAGAGCATCACTTGGGAAAAGAAAAGTCCCAGATTTGCTGGGGAATCACATATTTCTACCGCTAGACATGCTGAAAAATGACAACTGAAATGGCATTCCCACAATGCACCACTGGCTCCCCGATTTTTTTTATATGGTGCACACTGACCATGGAGACCCATTCTCTCACATGTGGGCCTACCAGCTTTCTCCTGCTTGATTTGAAGCTGCTAGAATTTATGCGTATAAATACGTCAGAAACATTGGCTCGTAAGACGTATTTATACGTCGGAAACAGTCAAAGGGTTAAATCTCTCAAACCAACCTTTGCTGGCCTTAAATTCACTCACATCATCACTAGTTGCAGGCCTTTTTTTAATTAAATCCTCATGCAACTTCCTAGCCTTTTCGCTTATGATCGCTTGAGAGACGCTATCTCCTGCTAGCTGTTTTTCATTTATCCACACCAATAAGAGTCTCTCAACATCTTCCATCACTTGCGATCTTTGTTTCGAAAACACAGTTAAACCTTTGGCAAGAACAGCTTCCTTGATTGCCTTTCTGTTGCCCACAATAGTAGAGATGGTTGATTTGGGTTTCTTGTACAACCTGACCAGGTCGGTGATACGCACTCAACTTTCATACTTATCAATTATCTCTTTCTTCATCTCTATTGGAATTCTAACCTTATTGCTGTTAGGGTTGGAAAATAGAAGCTTTCTTGGGGCCATGGTCACTTATTTTCCAGAAACAGCACCGAAAACACTGTAATAATACGAAATATTCCGATTGTATGCTTGAATGTTACCGCGGAGGCTGGCTGGTAAACAATGCCACCGGCGGAACATATGAGGCTGGCTCAGGCCGCACATTGGACGCGTCTCGGACGAAGGGCGCTGAGCGGGTTTTTGGGCGGTATGCGAGGCAAAATTTTAGCGATCAAAGCGTCCGGTATGCGGATTGTCCGTTATGCAAGGCGTCCGGTATGCGGGGGTCCACTGTAATTGTATAAATAATGTCAACCCATTCGTGACTGCATGTTAGACCAGCCACTTGGACACGTAATGGAGGGTGACATCATTTGTTCAACATCGGCAAAAATTGAACATTTCTGCAATTTTGAGCCCAATTCCAAGGTACTTTGTCATGAAACCAATCAAAATCATATCTGTTTTTGTAATATATCTTCAATTCTATCAAATGAGACCAAGAAAATGAGAATAGAACCATAAAAACCATACGAAAATACACCATAAAATCGCTATTTTACACCAAAAACACAGTTGCATTTTTTTCTCAATATGCACTGCGTGCTGCAAGGTTTTTTTTTTTTACATAATGTACACTTACCACACAGACTTATTTTCTCACATGTAGGCCCAAATTTACCGGTCACAGCTTATCTGAGTGAGTTGAGCTAATGGCGACCAAGTGGCTTCAAAGCCACCTTTTTCTTATGAACAATGTATGGTGTATGTGCTTTACACAATGAAAGGCATTTCTTTCATTTGTTGGAACCATGGATAGGGCTAAAAGTGAGCAGGTTATAACAATAAATGGAGAAAAAGAGATCGGAATGACTTATGCATCAAGTAGTGCCACAAAAAATAGCAGCAGGTTGGTGTAGTGACCTTGGAAATTTGAAATTATGCTGGCTGAAATTAGTACCAGATTACTGATGGAACTGGATTACTGATTGCCAAATTAGTGATGGCCGACCTGTACCTAAATCTTGAAACACACTTTATAGTATGGCTCTTAACCCTTTGGGGGTCTCTGACGTACTAGTACGGCTTACGCACCAGGGTTTTTGATGTACTAGTACGCCTAAATTCTAGCGCCCTCAAATCTATTGAGAGAAAGCTGGTAGGCCTACATATGAAAGAATGTGTATGTGGTCAGTGTGCGCAGTATAAAAAAAATCCTGCAGCACACAGTGCGTAATGAAAAAAAAAAACTTTAACCGTGTTTTTGGATTAAAACAATGACTTTGCACTGTATTTTCGTATGGTATTTATTGTTGTATTCTAGTTTTCTTGGTCTCATTTTACAGAATGGAAGACATTTTACAGAAATTGAGATGATTTTGACTGGTTTTACAATGAAAAGTACCTTGAAATTGAGCTCAAAGTAGCAGAAATGTTTGATTTTGACCAAAGTTCAAGAGTAAACAAATCATGCCAAGCATTCAATACACGTCAACTGGCGAGTCTTAATATCCTTTTACAAGTGCGCTGATATTATTTATACCATTTCTACACTAAAGCAGTAGTCTGCATAACAGTACGTAAATCTTCTATTTTTTGCACGAATAAAAATTCAAAGTGGAGAGCCAAAGAAATATAAGAGGGGCGTGGGGATGTGACTAACGAACAGAGAACTTGTTATTTTAGTGCCAGGAATGTCTTTCGTGTTTATTCTAGACCCTATTTGGAAATTGGCATCATTTGAAATTTGTGTGAAATTGGAAAAATTGCTGAATTCTGACCGCTTTATTGGATAGTTGAAATCGATAAATGGGTGGTTTCTTGTACTTATTCGATAGAAAAAAATGGAGTTCTAGCGAAATAGTTATGATTTTTTGCTGACTAGTACACTGGAATTGGCCAAAAATAGGGATCAAAGTGGGCAAAATCACCGATGCGTAAACATCGTTGAGACCGCTAATTTCGCGGGAGCATAATTCTGTAAGTTTTCCATCAAATTTCATACTTTTGGTGTCATTATGATCGGGAAAAGATTCTCTATCTTTTCATAAGAAAAAAAACTTTTTTTTTTTTTTTAAATTTTGGCGACCCTGAGAACAAGTCTCTGAGAGGGCCTGGTGACCCCCAAAGGGTTAATTAACCCTTTAAGGGTCGACAGGCCCTCTCCCAGACTTGTTCTCAGGGTCGACAAATTTAAAAAAAAAAAAAAATTATGAAAAGATAGAAAATCTTTTCCCAATCACAATGACACCAAAAGTATGAAATTTGATGGAAAACTTACGGAATTATGCTCTTGCGAAGTCAGCGGTCTCAATGATGTTTACGTATCAGTGATTTTGCCCACTTTGAGTCCTACTTTCGGCCAATTCCAGTGTACTAGTCGACAAAAATCATAAATATTTCGCTACAACTCCATTTTTTCTATCGAATGAGTACAAGAAACCACCCATTTACTGATTTCAACTATCCAATAAAGTGGTCAGAAATTAGCAATTTTGCCAATTTCACACAAATTTCAAAAGATGCCAATTTCCAAATAGGGTCCGAATAAACAAAGACATTCCTGGCACTAAAATAACATTTCCTCTGTTCATTAGTCATGTCCAGACGCCCCTCTTACATTCTTTTGCTTTCCACTTTGAATTTTTATTCTCGCAAAAAATAGAAGATTTACTGTTATGTAGACTACTGCATTAGTGTAGAAATGGTATAAATAATATCAGCGCACTTGTGAAAGAATATTAGACTTACCAGTTGACGTGTATTGGACGCGTAGCATGATTTGTTTACTTTTGAACTTTGGCAAAAATCAAAGATTTCTGCTATTCTGAGCTCAATTTCAAGGTACTTTTCATTGTAAAACCAATCAAAATCGTCTCAATTTCTATAATATGTCTTCCATTCTATAAAATGAGACCAGGAAAACTAGAATACCATCATAAATACCATACAAAAAACAGTGCAAAGTTGGTTTTAAACCAAAAACACTGTCAAAGTTTTTTTTTTCTCATTACGCACTGTGTGCTGCAGGATTTTTTTTATACTGCGCACACTGACCACAGACCCATTCTTTCATATGTAGGCCCACCAGCTTTCCCTCACTAGATATGAGGGCGCTAGAATTTAGGCGTACTAGCACGTCAAAAACCCCGGTGCGTAAGCCGTACTAGTATGTCAGAAACCCTGAAAGGGTTAACAAATCTCTGAAGCAAAACATAGGTTTCCAAGTTACTTGCCAAATTAATCATGCTGCATTTTGAAAGCACTAAATAACAACAACAACAATCATTACTCACATGATTACATTTGTCAGTGATGACTTCACGGATCTCCCTCTGAAAAAAAAAAAAAGTATAGAAAACTTTACTAGCGCCAATTTTATTTACATCAGTGCAGTAGTAGTAATAATGGTAATATGGTAGTTATACATTTTGTTTGTACTCATCACTTGGGGTGTGCAACAGTATGTATTGGTATCGGTGGGTATCAGCTAATTCCGGTGGTATTGGTATTGGCCTAAAATTATCATTATTGTTGCGTATCCGTTAATTTTGGCAACAGACAAATTTTGATGGTATCGGCAACAACCTAAACATGAGTATTAGTAGCAAAAATTTTTTGGTAACATCCCATCCCTACTCATCACCAACTGGAACCCATCATTGATAAATCTAGAAATTTGCATTTGAAACAAATATAGTTGTGGACACAAAGATACACACAGTAAGCTAGCTTCAAGTGCAAGCAGGTGAAAGGATACTACATTAATTTAAATGATCCTGTCTATAATGGAGAGGGACCTGAGCAATGAAAAATAAAGTCTAAATTGAAAAAAAGTTACATTACAGCCTCTCCCCACTTAGCCATTTACGTACTTCCCATCTCTAGGACTCGAAGTCCAGCCTGCTGATTTCCCTGAATCCCTTCATAAATGTTACTTTACTTTGCTCACAATTCAACAGCCCATCAAATATTAAACACCATATGTCTCCATTTACTCTTATCAAATATGCTCATGCATACATGCATGCTGGAAGTCCAAGCCCCTCACACACAAAACCTCCTTTACCCCCTCCCTCCAACCTTTCCTAGGCTGACTCCTACCCCACCTTCCGTCCACAACAAATTTATACACTCTCAAAGTCATTCTGTTTCGTTCCATTCTCTCTACATGTCCAAACCACCTCAACAGCTCTTCCTCAGCCCTCTGGACAACAGTTTTGGCAATCCTGCACCTCCTCCTAACTTCCAAACCATGAATTCTCTGCATTATATTCACACCACACATTGCCCTAAGATATGACATCTCCACTGCCTCCAGCCTTCTCCTCACTGCAATATTCATCACCCATATAAGTGTGTTGGTAAAACTATATTCTCATACATTCCCCTCTTTGCTTCCAAGGAAAAAGTTCTTTGTCTCCACAGACTCCTAAGTGCACCGCTCACCCTTTTTCCCTCATCAATTCTATGATTCACCTCATCTTTCACAGACGCATCTCCTGACACGTCCACTCCTAAATATCTGAATACATTCACCTCCTCCATACTCTCTCCCTCCAATCTGACCTCCAATCTTTTGTCACCTAATCTTTTTATCCTCATAACCTTACTCTTTCCTATAATCACTTTTAACCCCTTGACTCTCGCAACCCCAAATCCTGAGGTGTCTCCTGGTGTCGCAAAATTAAAAAAAAAAAAAATTTGTTTTTTCTTATGAAATGATAGAGAACCTTTTCCTGATTGTAATGACACCAAAAAAAACGAAATTTGATGGAAAACTGATGAAATTACACTCTCGCGAAGTTAGCAACCTCGGCGATATTTACAAATCGGCGATTTCGCCCACTTTGAGCCCTATTTTCGGCTAATTCCATTGTTCCAGTCAACCAAAATCATAGCTATGTCTTTAGAACTCCCCTTTTTCTATCGATTGAGTACAAGAAACTGCCCATTTACCAATTTCAACTACCCAACAATGTGGTCAGAAATTTGCAATTTGGCCAATTTCACGAAAATTAAAAAATATGACAATTTCAAAATAAGGTCCAGAATGAACAACGCAGACATTCCTGGCTCTAAAATAACATTTTCTTTGTTCATCAGTCACATCTCCAAACCCCTCTGATATTACTCTTGCTTTCTATTTTGAATTTTTATTCAAACAAAAAATAGAAGATTTACTGTTATGCAGACTACTGCAATACTGTAATAATTGTATAAATAACATGAACCCATTCATGACTGCATATTAGAATGGCTAGTTGGACATTTATTGGACAATGACATCATTTATTTACTTTTGAACATTGGCAAAAATCAAACATTTCCCATACTTTGAGCTCCATTTCCAGGTTCTTTTTATAGTAAAATCAATCAAAATCACCTCTATTTCTATATGTTTTCCATTCTATCAAATGAGACCAAGAAAACGAGAATACAACCATAAATACTATACGAAAATAGACCACAAAGTTGGCATTTTAATTAAAAAAAAAACGGTCGGAGTTTTTTTTTTCTCATTATGCACTGCATGCTCCAGGACTTTTTTTATATGGTGCACACTGACCACACAGACCCATTCTCTCACATGTGGGCCTACCAGCTTTCTCCTGCTTGATTTGAAGCCGCTAGAATTTATGAGTATATACATGTATACGTCAAACACGGTACCTCGTAAGACGTATATATACGACCACGACAGTCAAAGGGTTAACCTAACCTTGTCAAACCCTGTGTAAAAAAAAAAAAAAAAAGCGATTGGTAGAATGATGTAAAGAGAGTAGTAAGGGAGAAAAGGTTAGCATATGAGAGGTTTTTACAAGTAGAAGTGATGCAAGGAGGGAAGACTATATGGAGAGAAAGAGTGGTCAAGAGAGTGGTGAAGCAATGTAAAAAGAGAGCAAATGAGAGAGTGGGTGAGATACCAACAAATTTTGTTGAAAATAAAAAGCTTTGGAGTGAGATTAACAAGTTGAGGAAACCTAGGAAACAAATGGATTTGTTAGTTAAAAATAAGAGAGGAGAGTTATTGAATGGAGAGTTAGAGGTATCGGAAAGATGGAGGGGATATTTAGAGGAATTGTTAAATGTTGATGAAGTTAGGGAAGCTGTGATTTCGTGTATAAGGCAAGGACGAATAACATTATTGTAGGAGTGAGGAAGAGCTAGTTGTGAGTGTGAGGAAAGTTTGTGAGGCAGTGGGTAAAATGAAAGGGGGTAAGGCAGCTAGGATTGATGGAATAAAGATAGAGATGTTAAAAGTAGGTGAGGATATAGTTTTGGAGTGGTTGGTGCTATTATTTAATAAATGTATGGAAGAGGGTAAGGTACCTAGGGATTGGCAGAGAGTATGCATAGTTCCTTTGTATAAAGGCAAAGGGGACAAAAGAGAGTGCAAAAATTATAGGGGAATAAGTCTGTTGAGTATACCTGGTAGTGTATGGTAGAGTTATTATTGAAAGAATTAAGAGTAAGACGGGGAGGCTCTAGGATAGGTAGAGGGTGTGTAGACCAACTGTTTACAGTGAAACATATAGGTGAACAGTATTTAGATAAGGCTAAAGAGGTTTTTGTGGCATTTATGGATTTGGAAAAGGCGTATGACAGGGCAGATAGGGGGGCAATGTGGTAGAGTGCAGGTGTGTGGTATAGGAGGTAGGTTACTGAAAACAGTAAGAGTTTTTATGAGGATAGTGAGGCTCAGGTTAGAGTATGTAGGAAAGAGGGAGATCATTTCCCAGTATAAGTGGTCCTAAGACAAGAATGTGTGATTTCACCGTGGTTGTTCAATATATTTATAGCTGGAGTTGTAAGAGAAGTGAATGCGAGGGTCTTGGCAAGAGGTGTGGTGTTAAAAGACAAAGAATCAAACACAAAGTGGGAGTTGTCACAGTTGCTTTTTGTTGATGACACCATGCTTTTGGGAGATTCTGAAAAGGAGTTGCAGAGGTTGGTGGATGAATTTGGTAGGGTATGTAAAAGAAGAAAATTAACCCTTTGACTGTCGCAGCCGTATATACACACGTATACGTCTTACGAGGTACCGTGTTTGACGTATATATACTCATAAATTCTAGCGGCTTCAAATCAAGAAGGAGAAAGCTGGTAGGCCCCCATGTGAGAGAATGGGTCTGTGTGGTCAGTGTGCACCATATAAAAAAAATCCTGGAGCACGCAGTGCATAATGAGAAAAGAAAAACTCAGACCGTTTTTTTTAATTAAAATGCCAACTTTGTGGTCTATTTTCGTATAGTATTTATGGTTGTATTCTCGTTTTCTTGGTCTCATTTGATAGAATGGAAAACATATTATAGGAATGGAGGTGATTTTGATTGATTTTTCTATAAAAAGAACCTGGAAATGGAGCTCAAGGTAGGGGAAATGTTTGACATTTGCCGATGTTCAAAAGTAAACAAATGATGTCATTGTCCAATAAATGTCCAACTAGCCATTCTAATATGCAGTCATAAATGGGTTGATGTTATTTATACAATTATTACAGTATTGCAGTAGTCTGCATAACAGTAAATCTTCTATTTTTTGTTTGAATAAAAATTCAAAATAGAAAGCAAGAGTAATATCAGAGGGGCCTGGAGACATAACTGATGAACGAAGAAAATGTTATTTTTGAGCCAGGAATGTCTGCATTGTTCATTCTGGACCTTATTTTGAAATTGTCATATTTTTTAATTTTCGTGAAATTGGCCAAATTGCAAATTTCTGACCACGTTATTGGGTAGTTGAAATTGGTAAATGGGCAGTTTCTTGTATTCAATCGATAGAAAAAATGGAGTTCTAAAGAAATAGCTATGATTTTGGTTGACTGGATCTATGGAATTAGCCGAAAATAGGGCTCAAAGTGGGCGAAATCGCCAATTTGTAAATATTGCAGAGGTCGCTAACTTCGCGAGAGCGTAATTCCGTCAGTTTTCCATCAAATTCCGTTTTTTTGGTGTCATTACAATCAGGAAAAGATTCTCTATCATTTCATAAGAAAAAAATTTTTTTTTTTTTAAATTTTGCGACACCAGGAGACACCTCAGGATTGGGAGTTGCGAGAGTCAAGGGGTTAAAAGTGAATATAGGAAAGAGTAAGGTTATGAGAATAAAAAGATTAGGTGACAAAAGATTGGATGTCAGATTGGAGGGAGAGAGTATGGAGGAGGTGAATGTATTCAGATATTTAGGAGTGGACGTGTCAGCAGATGTGTCTATGAAAGATGAGGTGAATCATAGAACTGATGAGGGAAAAAGGGTGAGCAGTGCACTTAGGAGTCTGTGGAGACAAAGAACTTTGTCCTTGGAGGCAAAGAGGGGAATGTATGAGAGTATAGTTTTACCAGCACTCATATGGGTGATGAATATTGCAGTGAGGAGAAGGCTGGAGGCAGTGGAGATGTCATGTCTTAGGGAAATGTGTGGTATGAATATAATGCAGAGAATTCATGGTTTGGAAGTTAGGAGGAGGTGCAGGATTGCCAAAACTGTTGTCCAGAGGGCTGAAGAAGAGTTGTTGAGGTGGTTTGGACATGTCGAGAGAATGGAGCGAAACAGAATGACTTCGAGAGTGTATAAATCTGTTGTGGACGGAAAAAAAAAATGGGGTTGCAAAATGGACAGAGTATTTATTAAACAAATTTTAAGCAAACAATATCAGTTTAAGGAAAATACATAACATAAGGTGGCTAATTCTCACTAGTAAAATCACATATACTGAGGTAGATGACTTTGATTAAGAGATAATACTGTGAAATTTGTACAATAATGGAGCAAAACATACATTACACGTAGGCTTTTGGTTTGGACACTGTTTAATCAGTCTCTGTAAGATTGGTATCCTGAAGGATCATAATAGTTCATTCTCATTTGTGATAGTATACAGTTGTCCTATTTTTGTTTTCTTCACTAGAATTTTCCTGTCCCATGTGAAGCACTGATGGATTTTGTCAGTTTTAACCCTCTTAAATTTTCTGACTATACAGGAGGTTCTGCTGTTTTTTGGTCAGACACTCATTTATGTATACCTCTTTCTTTGCTTTAACAGATGCTAATTAGGTGTTTTTTTCCTGTCATGTATGTGGAATCTTAAGCATAATACTTTTTCTACCATGGGATCCTAGTAACCTGGCTTCCTTTATTTCTGACACTGGTACAGTAACACTTGTTTGGTCACTTGTGATCTGGCAAGTAATTTCTTTACTGTTTGATTGGTTCATATCACTGGGATAATGTGGAAAGTTAGGTAAATAAGTTTATGAAGGTACAGGTACATATAAGTACAATTATCATACATTGAACATATGTGTAACTTACCTAGAAAAAAAGTCTGACAAAGTGACTTGTGTCCATTGGGGTCCTTGAAGTAACATTATTACACAAGGAAATAATAACTAAACCTAACCTAATTTTGCAAGACTTAAACTATAATAACCAAAATACACCGAGTAGCAGTTGTATAATATTACCAAATATATAACACAATACGCAGTCTAATTTGGAATTACCAAGAACCTCAGTGGAAATATGTCTTCTGTTTTTTTTTTTTGGGTTATCCGAGGTAATTTACACTATGATAATTGTACCTGTGTACCGGTGCCTAAATAAACTTACTTACCCAATGTGATCACAGACTTAAATTCCTATTAAGGTCCCTGTATTAAGTTTATTTAGGCACAGGTACACATCTGAACAATTTTCATAGTGTAAATTACCTAGGATAACCCAAAAAAGTCAAGTTATTGTAAAGTTTTCAGTGGTGAACTTACTCGTTCATTCTGCAGACATTCCAAGACGGCGAAGTTATTGCGCACATCATCTTTACATATACGATGTATGTCTTCCTTACAGTCTGCTTCATCAATAAGTTTCACCAGTGTACTCTTGGTCTTCACTATGGAGCTACTTTCCACACCTCTCTTAACAGGCAGTGGCTCTCCCGTTACACTGCCAGCTGCACCATAAAGCAGCAAGAGGCACACAGTGGCACTCAGCGAGTATTTCATGTCTCCCTCCTTGACACTAGACGTCAGGGTGAAGGGTAAATGTGATGATAATTGTTACTTCACAGTGTAAGGAACATGAGGCAGTGTTGTTGCTGCTGCTGCTGCGCTATCACTCCTCCATCACATACATTATTACTAACAACCACTTGTTGTATACATTTATATCCTCTGATACAACATATCCATCTACAATAAATATATCATGCAGATGAAATATTTAAATTAAATGTTATTAATATAATTTTCCCTAATGGCACCATCGGTATATATTTTTATACTTTAAAACTATTACTACAAATATGTGAGAAAAAAAAAGATAGCTTCAGTTGATATTCATAAATTTTGGATGATAAAGTTAAGAATTATCTTTTAATGTCAAGAAAATAATACGTATTACAAAATTCTGTACTGTTCCCAGGATGAACTACGATACACAAACTACAATGTTGTATCTTAGCTGATACACTCATCATATACATTTTAACAATATTATACCAACCAGGAGAAGTCAAGATTGGATTAATATAAAATAAACTTGAAGTAAACTGTTGCGCCACGTAACCTTAGCAAAAAAAAAAATTCATTAGATTTGAATGGGAAAAATATAGTAGGAGTTTGTGATGGTTGGTGTGTCTGGATATTATCATAGTTGATAACACCACTTGAACACTTGCTTCACCCTCCCTCTCTTGCCTTCACTCACATTACACCATGGACAACCAACGAAGCAACAGAATAAGCCATTATATGCAGGATATTTTTAAATGTTACAACCTTTTAAGACTGCAGGAACCTGACAGTGAAAAAGGTAAAACCTCATACTCCTTATAATAGTAATTTAGGCCTTTTACAGTGGCTCTGTAAGATAAATTCTATACATTATGTTAGGGTAACCCCCCCAAAAAAATGAAACGTGGCATAATTCCTAAATTCACTTAGCTATTTAGCAGACATTTACATACACTAGTTAAAAATAACATTCATAAATGATGATTATATATATATATATATATATAATATATATATATATATATATATATATATATATATATATATATATATATATATATATATATATAATATATATATATAATATAATATATATATATAATTATATATATATATATATATATATATATATATATATATAATATATATATATATATATATATAATATATATATATATATATATATATATATATATATATATATATATATATATATATATATATATATATATATATTTATATATATATATATATATATATATCGTGCCGAATGGGTAAAACTTGCGATTTTGGCTTAAATAGGAACACTTCTTGCTGAATAAAGCAAGCGAAAATTTGTGCATCTAATAATTTAGCAAATGTAATTCTGAACCTTACAAAACAAAATGTATTTCATTGTGTTTGTTTAATATTAAATTATTGTAAACTAACCTAAAATATATTTAGTTGGATTAGGTTAAATTCAATTGCGCTTGTTATGATACGGTTTGGTAAGTTTTCTCAGGTTCTTTTAGTACAAAATTATTAATTTTTACGTATAAGAGAAAATTTTAGAAGGAACTTAATTTTAAATGTGTTCTTGCTAACTGACCCGTTTTACCTATTCGGCACGACATTATGTATATGCTCTTCTCTCAACAAACTGACCATATTTCACCGAGGCAGGTTGACCTAAAAAGAAAAACGAAAGTTTCTCTTTTTATTAAAATTAGTAATATATACAGAAGAGGTTACTAGCCCCTTGGTCCTGGCATTTTTGTCACCTCTTATGACACACATGGCTTACGGAGGAAGAATTCTGTTCCACTTCATGACTCGCGAAATCGTAATGACATGATTGCAAACAGTCATTGGAGTGATGTATAACCCACCACAGAACTGCAGGAGGCCAAGAGAGGAATATGAAGTGAACAACAGAGCTACGGTGGACACACTGGCTGAGGGGTAACAAGAGCTCACTCGAGCAAAGCAAAGTTACTGGTTATGGGCGATTTCAACCACAGAGAAATCGACTGGTAAAACCTGGAGCCACATGGGGGTCCCGAAACATGGAGAGCCAAGATGATGGATGTGGTACTTGAAAACCTCATGCATCAACATGTCAGGGACACTACCAGAGAGAGAAGGGAGGATGAGCCTGCAAGACTGGATCTTGTGTTCACCCCGGGCAGTTCAGACATTGAGGCCACCAATTACGAGAGGCCCCTTGGCGCTAGCGATCACGTGGTTCTGAGTTTTCATTATATAGTAGAGCTACAAGTGGAGAAGGTAACAGGAACTGAATGGGAAAAGCCAAACTATAAAAGGGGGGGACTACACAGGTATGAAGAACTTCCTGCAGGAGGTTCAGTGGGACAGAGAACTGGTAGGAAAATCAGTAAACGAAATGATGGAATATGTAACAATAAAGTGCAAGGAGACAGAGGAAAGGTTTGTTCCCAAGGGAAATAGAAATAATAGGAAGACCAAAGCGAGTCCTTGGTTTACCCGAAGGTGTAGGGAGGCAAAAACTAAGTGCACCAGAGAATGGAAAAAGTACAGGAGGCAAAGAACCCAGGAAAATAAGGATAGTAGAAGAGCCAGAAACGAGTATGCACAGATAAGGAGGGAGGCCCAGCGACAGTACGAGAATGACATAGCATCGAAAGTCAAGTCTGACCCGAAACTGCTGTATAGCCATATTAGGAGGAAGACAACAGTCAAAGACCAGGTGATAAGGCTGAGGAAAGAAGGTGGGAAACTCACAAGAAACAATCAAGAAGTATGTGAGGAGCACAATATGAGATTTAAGGAAGTATTTACAGTAGAGACATGAAGGCCTCTGGGGGGACAGAACAGAGGGAGACACCAGCAAGGAATATACCAACAAGTGTTGGATGACATACATACAAATGAAGAGGAGGTGAAGAAGCTGCTACAGGACATCGATACCTCAAAGGCAATGGGACCGGACAACATCTCCCCGTGGGTCCTTAGAGAGGGAGCGGATATGCTGTGTGTGCCACTTACCACAATCTTCAACACATCCCTGGAAACTGGGCAACTACCTGAGGTATGGAAGACGGCAAATGTAGTTCCCATTTTTAAAAAAGGAGACAGAAAAGAGGCACTAAACTATAGACCTGTGTCACTGACGTGTATAATATGCAAAGCTATGGAGATGATCATCAAGAGGAGAGTGGTGGAGCACCTGGAACGGAACAAGAGTATAAATGCCAACCAGCACAGATTCATGAAAGGCAAATCCTGTGTCACAAACCTTCTGGAGTTTTATGATAAAGTAACAGAAGTAAGACACGAGAGAGAGGGGTGGGTGGATTGCATCTTCTTGGACTACAAGAAGGCCTTTGACACAGTTCCTCACAAGAGATTAGTGCAGAAGCTAGAGGATCAGGTGCATATAACAGGAAGGGCACTGCAATGGATCAGAGAATGCCTGACAGGGAGGCAACAACGAGTCATGGTACGTGATGAGGTATCACAGTGGGCACCTGTGACGAGTAGGGTCCCACAGGGGTCAGTCCTAGGACCAGTGCTATTTTTGGTATATGTGAACGACATGATGGAAGGGTTAGACTCAGAAGTGTCCCTGTTCACAGATGATGTGAAGTTAATGAGGAGAATTAAATCAGATGAGAATCAGGCAGGACTTCAAAGAGACCAGGACAGACTGGACACCTGGTCCAGCAACTGGCTTCTCGAATTTAACCCCGCCAAATGCAAAGTCATGAAGATCGGGGAAGGGCACAGAAGACTACAGACGGAGTATAAGCTAGGTGGCCAAAGACTGCAAACTTCGCTCAAGGAGAAAGATCTTGGGGTGAGTATAACACCGAGCATGTCTCCGGAAGCACACATCAACCAGATAACTGCTGCAGCATATGGGCGCCTGGCAAACCTGAGAACAGCATTCTGATACCTTAGTAAGAAATCATTCAAGACACTGTACACCGTGAACGTCAGGCCCATACTGGAGTATGCAGCACCTGTTTGGAACCCGCACTTGATCAAGCACATCAAGAAATTAGAGAAAGTGCAAAGGTTTGCAACGAAGTTAGTTTCAGAGCTAAGGGGAATGTCCTATGAAGAAAGTTTAAGGGAAATCGGCCTGATGACACTGGAGGACAGGAGGGTCAGGGGAGACATGATAACAACATATAAAATACTGTGTGGAATAGACAAGGTGGACAAAGACAGGATGGTCCAGGAAGGGGACACAGAAACAAGAGGTCACAATTGGAAGTTGAAGACTCGGATGAGTCAATGGGATGTTAGAAGTATTTCTTCAGTCATAGAGTTGTCAGGCAGTGGAATAGCCTAGAAAGTGACGTAGTGGAGGCGGGAACCATACATAGTTTTAAGACGAGGTTTGATAAAGCTCATGGAGCAGGGAGAGAGAGGACCCAGTAGCAACCAGTGAAGAGGCAGGGCCAGGAGCTAAGACTCGACCCCTGCAACCACAAATAGGTGAGTACGGGCGGGGTTAGAACCCGCGATCAGTCTCAAAACTCCAGACCGCATTAGCCACTGGGTCAGCTAGCTAGCCACAGTTCAGATTCAGATTCATTTATTTCTTTTTAAGTAGTGCATTGAGATTATATTTTTTACAATAATGGGTTGCAGTGCAAAGAGAGCATCTATTATGCTTGGCATTATGGGCTGACTTAATTCAATGGCTTAATGACTACTTATCACTAAAGAAATTATCATAGTTGTAGCTTATAGATTAATGGTTATAAATGACCATAATTTTTAAAGGGGTGGACCGGTAAGCCAGCGGAAGGCCTCGGTCAGATGACCAAAAGCTCCAAAGGCGGGTCATCATCTGACTAAGACCCGCGTCAGGAAACATTTGTCCTGTTTCCTGACGAACCTAACCTAACCTATCATAGTTGTACAGTAGTTCTATTAATAATAAGTGAATCTAATTTATACAAACAAAAGGATATACGTATTCATGTATTCAAAAATGCTTTTTATGAAACATGATTCAGATGTGTATATATATATATACATATATTATATATATTAATATATATATATATATATATATATATATATATATATATATATATATATATATATATATATATATATATATATACATGTATATGTATATAATTATTTACTTAGATTTTAGTAAGGCTTTTGATAGAGTTCCGCACCAAAGACTGTTAAAGAAAGTGGCAGCTCATGGCATTTGGGGAAGGGTGCTTTCATGGATTGAGTCATGGCTCACAGACAGGAAGCAGAGAGTGTCCATAAATGGGGTTAAATCCGAGTGGGGATCAGTAACAAGTGGCGTTCCACAGGGATCAGTCTTGGGCCCGTTGTTGTTTATAATATATATCAATGATCTTTATGAGGGAATTACTAGTGAAATGAGCAAATTCGCCGATGACACAAAGATAGGTAGGATAATTGATTCAAGCGTAGATATCAGGGAACTTCAGGGGGATTTAGACAAACTCAATACCTGGTCAGCAAAGTGGCAGATGCAGTTCAATGTAGATAAATGCAAGGTTCTGAAACTCGAGTGTGTCCATAATCCTAGCACTTATAAGTTAAATAATGTAGAACTTAGCCATACAGATTGTGAAAAGGACTTGGGGGTTATGGTGAGCAGTAACCTTAAACCAAGACAGTAGTGCCTAAGCGTACGTAATAGGGCAAATAGATTATTGAGATTTATATCAAGAAGTGTAAGCAACAGAAGTCCAGAGGTTATACTGCAGCTTTATACATCATTAGTAAGGCCTCACCTAGATTATGCAGCTCAGTTCTGGTCTCCATATTACA